GTAAAGGGGCAGAATCCCCTCCCTCGACCTGCTGGCCACGTTTCTCTTGATGCAGCCCAGGATGCGGTTGGCTTTCTGGGCTGCAAGCGCACATTGCCAGCTTATGTTGAGCTTCTCATCCACCAGTACCCCAAAGTCCTTCTCCTCAGCCACTCTCCAGCCAGCCTGTACTTGTGTTTGGGATTGCCCCGACCCATGTGCAGGACCTTGCACCTGGCCTTGTTGAAATTCATGCGGTTCACGCAGGCCCACCTCTCCAGCCTGTCGAGGTCCCTCTGAATGGCATCCCTTCCCTCCAGCGTATCATACTTTTTAGCTGCCCCGAGACGCTGAGGGTGCTTAAACTGAAAAAAACATCACTAGTGCTAGCTAAATAAAGCTGTGTTGGATTTTAAACAGAAAATCTGTGCAACAAGAGCCATAAGAAGAGTGGTGAGAAATTATTATTGTATGGCATTGTTTTACGATCGATACAGCCTCTTGTCCATTTGTAGAAGTAATTCAGGTTCAAAAATGTAGGACTAACTTTTCACAAATGAAAAAATGAATTACCTTCATATGAAAAAAATGCAACTGTTTGAGTGCTTGGTAATTGTTTTTGTCCAAAGCTAATTACTGCTGGCTTGTGCTGTGGCTAATAATAAATGAGTTCATGGAACATTAACTCACGCTTATGTGTCTTCACTACATTGTTTTAATTCCTGCTCTTCATGATTTAGTTCTCATACTTTCTTAAACATGTATTTCGTGGTACCTTAAAGACCTTTTTTATGATCTAAATCTTAATTTTAACCAGCTGACCTCCATTTTTTGTTTCATAATAGTCAGTAAGTGCTTCTGATAAAGTCAGGCTTCTTTGCACTGAGACAAATGTAAGGGATAGAAGAGCATAATAGTTCCTGTAGAAAATACATCTCAGTACCTTGGGAAACTCTGCTTCGCAAGCAAGCTGAAATTCCTTTTTTGAGTTGGCCCAGTTCAGAAATTGTCACCTCTGCTACCTTGAAAGTAGACTTTACTTCTGTCATTGTTCCCTGTATGTATTGGCCATCTTCTCTGCTATTTTGGCCGGCAAATTCAGACACACCTCCTGGCTAAACCCTGCATTATTTCTGCAAGAAACACTCATCACCATGTAGCATACACACAAGAAAATTAACATTACAGGTGCCCCTCCCAGATGCAGATCCCCAGATAGTTCTTTGCTATTTCTTGTTGTTACCAAATCCAGACAGTTCCATTCTTACACTTCCCTGCTGAATCTGCAGCGAAATGAATCTCTGCATTTGATTTAGCATGTAACAAAATGATGACTGTTTGCCTACTTATCAGAGGGGCTCTGCACCTGGACAAGCTGGTGTTTTTTTCAGGTTTAAAATACATACTTTAATGTCAAAACAGTCACTGTGGAAGTAAAAAAAAAAATTCTGGGTTGAATCAGCAAGTGGATCAAAAGAAAAAATGTTTACAAATGTTCTCAAGCAAAGCTGTTATTCATTTACTTATCTTATTTCCCAGTACTTTGAACTCTTTGTGTGGAGACAGAAGGGAAAAGCCCTAATTTTTTAAGCTCATTAGCTTTAGCTGAAGTATTCTGTGTCCTCCATTATTTTGGTAGAACCAGCTTGACAAATAAGTTAAAACCTAGGTAACCGAGGCTTTTTGTTTTCAGCTGACTCCAGCAGTTCAGCGCTATACTTGCTTATCTGTTCTCTTCCTTTTGAGAAGCAAAAATGAAAAACCTAGCTGTCCTCAGGAGCATTTTGATACACATATGCAGGTATGTGCGTGTGCACACTTGCTTTGCACACAAGCCAATGGCATCCTCGAACTGAGAAATAAACCAAAAACGGTTATTCCTTATCCACTTTGGGATCAAAAGCCACCTGTGCTGATGCAGAATTGTCGTTTGGGGAGTTATTGCAGAGCATTATGTGGTCTTCTTGCACTCAGTTCCACCCATTGTTTCATTGTACAGTGGTCTGGAGTAATAATGAACTTGGGAATAAAGAAATGGAAACCAGGCACTGGCTGCTGCAAGTGGGTGTTGTGGGCATAGCACTGTTGCTTTGTGGCGTAGGGTATAAACCCTCCTCTGCTGTCTGGACAAAGCACTTACACTTGTGTGGATTGTATCCTGTGGGGCAGCTTACAGGTCTGAAATAAGTGTCACAGAGGATTTTATTTTCTGCCTTTGCTCTCTCCCCCAGGGAAGAAGATGAATATTCAGAGCTGCGGTCAGAGCTCAGCCAAAGCCAGCATGAGGTTAATGAAGACTCACGCAGCATGGACCAGAATTCTGTTTCAGTACCAGAGAATCAGTCCACCATGGTCACTGCAGACATGGGTGAGTTACGCTTCTTAGTAAACATGGTGCCTTCTCACAGCAGAAAGGCATCATAGCCTTTGAAATGCAAATCCAAAAGTTTGATGAGGAAATAAATGAATCTAGGCTCTGTTAATCACAACAAATGCTGAAATTCTCCATGACTATGAACTTCTATGTGAAATAACCTCTGTGCCTTGATGTGGAATAGCTATGGAGTCTGAAATAGAATGATTGTATGGGAGAGCTCATGACTTTTGGGAAAGAAGAGGAGGAAAGAAGCTATTCACATACCTTACACGTGCCTCTGAAGTAGTCTAACTGTAGAAAAAAATTGCAGACAGAAAGAAAGTTGGGGGAAAAAGGGTAGGGAAGGGAACTGTTTGTCCGGTTCTTTTACAGAGTAAATATAGAGGATGTCTGCACTTTTTGAAAATTGAGGGCCTGTTTAAAGTATGGAATAGGGATAGCTTACTGAACTGGATTTAGACAAGGATAAATCTGACAGAAGCCATTCCAATACAGTGCAAGGAGGGAGCACCTCCAGACAGTCTGTAACTAATTTTTTTCTGGTTAAGAGCTAAGAAGGCAAGCATCTTTCCTTCAGAATTTTGTCTGTTTTGTCATCCAAGCACAATTACTGATCATTTGAAGAACCTTCAAGTATGGAATAATTACTCTGACAGAAGTTTGCGATAGAAGCATGAGCAGATGCTAGGCCTTCAGTACGAAGATATTTCAAGTGTTTGGGCACAATTGCTGCACACCATAGCAGATTAGCAGAACTCTTGTGTAGTCCTCACTATGACTGATTTCCAAAATTCTCTTCAGAATACTATTTCTCTTAGTTTGTATTTAAAATGAAATAGTTGGTCTTCATTTTCTTCCCTAGTTAAACTAGCTGGGTGCCCAGGAGCTTCTGTGAGTGATACTGTAAATGAGCAGTGTTTTAGGAGATGATTGAAATAGCAGTCTTAAGCCCTGTTGCAGAGCAACCGTGTTACATGAGGCTTTCATGATTATAATGCAACGTACAATATTTACTTCCATACATAAGAAACTGTGTTAAAACAGTTCCCATTTGTTTGGAACAGTGCAGTTCATTATTGCGAACTTTTTGCTGTTCTTTCCGGTAGTGTGCCTTTTAGAGGAATGGACCTGAGAGTAGGCTGACTTTTGGCCATAGTATTCAATGTCTTCAAGTAGAGTTTAATAATGTAGAAAACATGTTGATATTGTAAGCAAACGTATAAAGAGATTTTCTGTATAATTTCTTAAACTGAAATTAATACACCAGTTCTGGAGCTGCATTGGTTTATACATGCAAGATCCGCCACAGCATGTTTGTATTTCAGTGTCTCTAAATTCTAGAAGCCTTGACAGAACAGTATTAATAATAACATATTCACAAAATGTCTGTCATACAGAATTCGAAGTATACTTAACAAAATGTTATATGAAGTCAAGGTATGTTAGTAGAGGCTTTTATATCCTTAAAAATGAATATTTTTACTTTCAAAAATTGATGCTTATTATTACATTCCCACTTGAACATATTCTAACGTGAGAACATTTTTTTCCTTTAGTTTTCTTTCCTTTTTCCTTCCCTTTCATTTGACAAAAACATTCAGACTAATTTATTTTTCAGCATTTATTTTTTTGGGTTAGGGCTTTCATTTTGCTCTTCATTGGGTGGAGCTGAACTAGGGTTTGTGTACATTAATAGCGTGTTATCCATTTAAGTTTTTGCTAACAGTGGGAAACATGGCAATAAAATGAAGTACAACAATGGACAAAATAAGAATGTTAACTCTGTTCTTGCATTTTTTCCCTGTTTTTCTTCTATACATAGACTCTGTCCTTTTTGGGTTTCCATATTCCTGTGAGAATAAATCCTTTTGTGTGTATATGTATGTGTGTGTATGTACACACGTATTTATACACAAATATGTGTGGGTTTTTGTCCCTCTAGATACAGGTATATAAGGAAGAAAAATTATGACCTAATAACCATGTGCATGGCCTTGCTTACTGCCCTAATGGAATGAGCATCAGTGACTTACTAAAAACAGTAATATGTCATGATACACTAATGCATGTGGATATGCAGCTCTATTGCTACAGGCAATAAAACAAGAGCTAAAACTATGAACATTCTCCAGTATGTCTTGCAGAGCTTGCAATTGGTTTGTGCTGGTTTTCTGTCAGAAATGAGATTCTCATTATTGTAAACTCTTATTTTCTGGGGAAAATGTTATTGTAGGAACAAAACTCAACGTACAAGGTCTTGTGAAGGTCATTTAAATGGACAAAATGTCTGTTGTAGAAGGTGTTATGGAAACAAATATATTCAAGCTAGTTAAATAGAGGTTTTTACAGTGAAGTGTCCTGCATGGTATATGCTGCTCATAAGTGAGTGTTACTCTAAAGAGATTTTTGGTATTATTACAACAGATGGGTGGCTGCTAGCCAGGAACCAGTGAATATGTCTTCAAGAGTAAAGTTTTGTATGTGTTGCCCATTCACATTTTTCATACAGTACTGTGACTTCGTTCTAAACTCTTCTTTTTGGTCAGCAATAGGTTCATGTTTATGTGCATTGGGCTGTGGAGTTAGATTTGTGGTAACAGTTTACAGTTTTTTACTTTCTAATCATCTCCTCCCTTCATCCAACTGCTTTCAGTCTTTTCTTGCACAGAGATTTCAAGGTAGTCTGCAATAATCTGATGTCTCATGTCTTAAATTTCAGACACTGTTCAATGCTGCACTGCTTTAGTCCCCTGTAAGAACCACAGCTATGAGGCTATTAGAGAATTCTGACCATGGTGAAATGCTTGCAGCAGTAGTATCAAAATAATGCTTCCAGCAAGAGTGCCTGACACTGTTTTAGTAAGGCATAGGAACTGCTGACGCACTGCTGTCTCATAGTGCACCACTCGTGCTGTACAGTTGGTAGTTATTGCAAAGTCTTAACTAGTAAGCCAGAAATACTAACTAGCACGTCTGACAGACAGCACAAGGGTGAATTTGACCACATGTCTGCCTTAGAAACTGCCACTGTGTCACCAAATATGAGCGTAAGAAAAATGAAAATAATTTGTGAAGTGAGCTAGCAAGGTACTGAGACGTGCTTGTTTTCACAGAAATGGAGGACGCTGTGGCAGTGCCCAAGGCACTGGAAGAGCTTTGCCAAAAGACGGAGAAGGAAATCACTCTCTGCCACATTTTATAATTAAAATAGTGTGGTTGTGTATGCTTCTAATATGGTTGTAGTATGGAACATAGCAAAGAACAGGGTGTGCTGTTAGGATCCCTGAATATTCTGCAGCTGCATTTGAAGGAGAAATGGCTGTAAAAATGAAACATAGGCTCTAAGGTCGTTGGTAAGGATCCTTTCTATAAACACTAGGATTTTTTAAATCAGGGAGTGCCTCAGTACAACCACAAAAATTCCTCTGAAAAACATCAAGTCGTAATGTCAATGGATGTACGAGGCAGAAAAAAACATTGAATTTACAGAGAAAAATCTTTGAGGGTAATACAATCAGGATAATGCCAAAAAGAACAAGAAAAAAGAAATGGCATAGTATGTGAACGTGTGGTGTCTTAAAATGTTGTCCTTCAGAAAACAGAGGTTTTTGAAGACAGAATGAACCTTCAGATAAGTAGTGGGAGTGTTATTTGTCAGATGGATGTAACTCGTCATTTCAGCTGATGGTATGGTTATGGTATTTAAGACTATCAGTTGATGAGGAAAAAGTGGCAGATTGCAAGGACATTCCTTGAACAATATCAGTCCTAGCTGTTCTGCAGCAGGCACTTCCTGGGTTAGAGTTTGTTTTTTCAGAGTCACTAACTGTTGCGGTATTTGTTTTGTTTTGTTTTGCTTTCTTTTAGATAACTGTAGTGACTTGAATTCAGAACTGCAAAGAGTGCTGACAGGTCTGGAAAATGTTGTCTGTGGGAGGAAGAAAAGCAGCTGCAGTTTATCGGTAGCAGAAGTGGACAGACATATTGAACAACTGACTACCGCCAGCGAACATTGTGATTTAGCCATTAAGGTAACGGTAACATTACGCTCTCAATGCAGTGGGGTCATTGCCTGAGACACCTGATCACATTCGGTAGTAATAGCACTTTACTTCCAAAGGTGTCAAAGAACTTCACAGAAATCAATTCCAGCTCATGGTAGGTGTTGGGCAAGCAGTAGTACACCTGTTTTACACTGAATTCTCCAAGGGACGGGAGGACCTACTAATAGACTTTTGGTCTCAAATCAGAAATGTGTTTGTCTTGTGCTCGTCTCAGAGATAAGAGAAACAGGGACACTCAGCAGTTAATTTGCTTTCTGAAGGTTATCCAGCAAACAAGTTGTCACTTGCCTAAGGTCACACAGTTCGTCATTGGCTGGTAACTGAACACACAGTATGTAATGTTTGCTGAAATTTGAAGATAAAGTGTCATAAACTATGCATAAGTTGTGACTCTGCTGTCTTAAAACACGAAGGTAGTATTTAACACAAAGTATGTGTGGTATATTAATTCTAATGAGACAAGCCAGACACAGGAACAAATAATTCAGCTGATACTTGGCTTTATTGTGCGTGTAACAGAACAAGAAGAGTGATGAAGGGATTGCAATTCAGTACCTGAAAGCAAGGGAACTGTGGAGTATCTTACTATAAACAGGGAAAAAGCTGAACAATTTTTTTGTGTCAGATGGAAAGGTGTCAGTGACTCATTTACATAGGAAAAAATATACTGACAATTTGCTTTTGAAGTGGAGAGGTCTGTGACCGTTCTAGACGGCTTTAGACAGCCCTTTGGCATACTGCTGGGAAGGTCTGCCCTGTCCCTGGTGGTGCCTGAGGAATATAATGGCCTGTAAAGAAATGGGTGTTGAGTAGTAGTTTGAAGAATGTGAGTATATTTGAGAGAGAAACAGACTGACTTCTGGGTCTCTTGGGAGCAGTCTTACGGCAGTTTATTCGAGTGTCTCAGAGAATTGAGATCAATACTTTGAATGTTGCTCAGTATTATCTGGAGTTTTGGGGTTGAGTGCTCTCAGAAGTCAGTATTAACCAAGAGAGGGATTGTGGATCCTGGAACACAGATAGAGATTGGTCTGTGTGAGGTCCACAGAGGTCTCTGAAGTGAGCTGAGATGAAAACTTCTGCAGAAGGTGGTTTCACCAAAATGTCAAAATAGCTGCCGTAAGCTTAATTCTCAGGCTTTTTATTTTAAATTCATTATTTACTGTTGACAAAAATTAACTACAATCAAACTTTTATATTGATAATTAACTGTCAGCAGTTTCTTTCTGGTCCAAATGCAGGCCTTATGTTTTCATGTGATCTCTACATGCATAGCCATTTTTGGGGAAAGCTTTTCCCCACTGCCTGCGCTGTAGAGCCTGGGATAGTTTGTATTTGACAAATGATAGCATGCAAAGGTTATTAAACTTTCAGGAAGATAGGAATCTCTCTGACATGCTCCAGTTATGTGCTAGGGAATTGTGTCACCAGTGTGTTTAATATGGCAAAACCTACACGTAGAGCCCCTCTCCACAATTCCACCCATGGCTGCAGGTCATCTCTCCTTTCCTGCTTCCTCAGACAGAGAACTGAGAGATTTTTAAAACAGGTGGAATCAGGAACGGAAACCTGAAATATTCTGCCTTTTGCTTTGGCTGTTGGCTTTTTTCTTCACAGGTGGACCAATGTGTTTGAATGTTTTGAATCCTTCTGGTTTGATGGTCAAATTTCATTGGGTTTCTTTTAATGCTCTTTAAAGCTGTCCTTTCCTGCTTCCTCAGACAGAGAACTGAGAGATTTTTAAAACAGGTGGAATCAGGAACGGAAACCTGAAATATTCTGCCTTTTGCTTTGGCTGTTGGCTTTTTTCTTCACAGGTGGACCAATGTGTTTGAATGTTTTGAATCCTTCTGGTTTGATGGTCAAATTTCATTGGGTTTCTTTTAATGCTCTTTAAAGCTGTTCCTGGTGAATTTTTTTTTTTTTTTTTTGTTTCTTTTATACAAATCATGTGACCCTAACTAGCTCAGTTGTTTCTGTCCCACAAAGAATAAAAAGACCTTGAAATCGGATTTGTCAGATTGTCTGATAAACCGAACAGTTACAAAACTATCCTTTGTTTAAGAAAATTTCCACAGAGGAGGCTGGTTAATGCTTCATATATTTTGAAGAGTAAATAATTGTCAGTAACAGATACTAAAACTCTACCAATTAAAAAAAGATGTAAATTTTTCCAAACATGAACCATTTCCAACATGAGAACAGCTGCACTAGGTTGAACCAAGTATCTGTCTGTCTAGTGGCAGATGACAATGAAAAGACTACATCAAAAGGGACATGCATAGTATGGAACTACAGGGAACTACAGGCCGGTCAGCCTCACCTCCATCCCGGGAAAGGTGATGGAGCAGCTTATCCTGGAGGCCATCATCAAGCAAGTGGAACAAAAGAAGGTTATCAGGAGTAGTCAGCATGGTTTCACCAAGGGGAAATCATGCCTGACCAATCTAATAGCTTTCTACGATGACATGACTGGCTGGGCAGGTGAAGGGAGAGCTGTAGATGTTGTCTACCTCGACTTCAGCAAGGCTTTCGACACAGTCTCCCATGATATCCTCCTAGGGAAGTTCAGGAAGTGTGGGCTGGATGAGTGGTCGGTGAGGTGGATTGAGAACTGGCTGAATGGCAGAACTCAGAGGGTTGTCATCAGCGGCACTGAGTCTAGTTGGAGGCTGGTAACTAGTGATGTCCCTCAGGGGTCAGTACTGGGCCCAGTCTTGTTTAACTTCTTCATCAACAA